GATACACAGTCTCGCGCGTTGGAAATAATTTTTTTTTTTTTTATTCGTACAGCGTTGCCATTGCTCACTTTGAAATCGTTTAGTTTTTTAATCAAAAATTCTGTGAAATGTTACAAAATATGAAATCGATAATAAAACAAATTTCAAATTCAAATTAGGCCACATGCCCATATTCTATGGAAGATTACGTTATTCAAATTTTGATGGCTTTAGGTACCGTTGTTTTACCACAATGCGAGAAACATAGACAGATTTATGCAGATTCTTCATTATTTAATTTCTTTAAATATAAGACACGGCGATAATATTTGGTGGCAACGATTTGAAAAGTGATACAGCCTCTTAAAGTTTTCGACGCAAAATGCCAAAACGATCTTAACAGTCGTTCAGGGCAAATTGCCCCTTTGGACTAAACAAAGAGGGGGAATTCGAAACGGGATGTGGTTTCCAATTATTGCCAAAAGCCAGATTTTGTTAAATATCTCGAAACAAAAAAATAATTTCGACGTATTTATTGATTTCAATTCATGAATTTCACGTCCCGACAAAATCTCTCTTTTGTCTCAATATTTGCTGCAAACCTTACGAGCAACCAGGCCAGTAAAATAAACACATAGCAACATATTAAATAATTTCTTTTTATTATATAAGTACACCAAGTTTTCAAGCGGCTTTAATGTTTGGTGAAATGATATCATAGCAAATTTGCCTGCTTGCAGCTTTGAAAAACTCAACCCTTAAATGTATGTAGTTGCCGTTTGCCAACATACTCATATTTAGTCATGTAAATCAAATCGACACACAAATTTTAACTTACTGCATAGTGTAACCAATTGAATACATACTATTTACGTATATAGTTTTGAAATATTATATACGTTGAAACGCATATAGATTTTGATGCATTCAAAGTTTTAAAATTGTTTCAATAAGTTTATAAGGTATGTGTTATTACATAAAATTGTTATGACACATTTGCCTATCATATTTGATTTGTAAAAGTTAATAATATTTTTTTCAAAAATTGGAATAAAAACTTAGTTTAGAATTTTTTGAGTTTTTTCCTATTTTATTTGATATCAGTTCTAATGTATTTTTGACTTTAAAAATAAAAATAAAAATTCATGCATTTAAGGGTTAAATTTAAGGGTTAAACTGTATTTACCGCCTTGATCGGTATAGTTGGTTAGCGTTACTGGTTGCCATAACTTTGGATCCGAGTTCGAATCCCAGAAAAGGCTTCAGTTCTCTTAAGTGTATAGTGCTTATGCGTTATATGGGCACTTAAAACACTGGTAGTGTGAGAGTCCTCTCAAGAAAAATTGGTGTTAGCGAAATAGAGTGGGCAGACTTTCTGTTCCTTCTCTCTGGGTATTTTCCTTCAAAACTGGAAAGGAGCACAGCTTGTTGTCACCTACGAGCCGATGACAGGAGAAAACCTATCAGGCCAATCAATGCAAAGCCTTTGCTTTTAATTTTTCAAAAGTAATTTAAAAATAATGACATTTAATATGATATGGAGAAAAATACCGAAAAGTTGTTTTGAATATGATTTGGATAATTTGGATACTTACGTATTATCCCGTCGACCGCTGGCAGAAATTTCGGCAACCGTCGCCTGTCACCAATCGCTACTCCCGAATTCTAAAGGGGTTATCCATAACTGGCTTTAAATCGCGCTAATACGCCGGTCGACGGAAGTTTCAGCGTAAGTACCCGATTAGAGATATATCTGGAATTGGATATAGTAGATTATGGCAAAGAAAGCTAAAGTTATCTGCTTAGAGTCAGAATTTTCGTCGAGAAAAGAAACTGGATTCTATTCACGCTACCTACCAATATTTAGGAAAGGACAAATTCAAAAACAAATTAGTCTATGTTAGAAATTAGGGTTAGGAGGAAATACTCGAGAGCTGTTAGCCTTGGATGAGATATCTTGATTGACATTCTGAAGATAATAATCTCGCGTTCACGTTAAACCGTTATAAAATCAGCTAGCTACCCTCAGCTGCGCTTCGAAAGAAACATTTTCGAGAATCTTAACTTCCAGAATATCTGATTGGTTGACTTAAGGGGTTGTCACATCTAGCGATGGTCCCCGCCAAAGGAGACTTTTCTGAGAAACGAGATACCGGTAGCACTGGTTTAAACGAGAGGATTCATAGAAAAAACAGCTCCGCGCGAAGTGAAGTCGCTTATAGCTACGGAAACGATGTCCCGGCTACGCGGGATGTTTTGAAACTTCACGAAAATGTTTCGTTTTTAACTCTGTCCCGGGTAGAGATCAACCAATCAGATGAAAATTCTGGTTCTGTAGAATCACGTGATTCCAATCTGAGCGATAATCAATTACTGTTTCTCGTTCATGTCTGTTCAGTAAGTGAAAATGGTAACCTAGCTACGTGGGTTTCCTGGAAATGTGTCGGTTCTGAGAAATGTCCCTTTCGACGTTCGTTTTGGAAATGTGAGGGTTTTGAGAAATGTACGCGTAGAGGAAATAAATGTCATAGGGACTTTATGCGAATACAAAGCGAGAGAAAACTGCAGGCGAAACATTATCCCTCAGTTTCGCAAAATTCCCCTTTGGACTAGAAACCTCTCTTTTAAACTAGAGATGGAAAATATGCGTTTCTAGAAAAAAAAAAATACTGTAGCATTACGAGGTGCTGTATGTCATAAACCCATTACACACTACGAAAACTAGAAAATATCTGTAACGCCAAAACGGGGACGAATTATTGTATTCAGAAGTGATTTTATCAGCTTATAAGCAAAGAGAAAAGTACTATAAAAACATAAAAATAAGAAGGAAATATAAAAAGGCTATAAAAATAATAACCAATGCTTTTGGTTTCAAGAAAACTGTATCGAAATATTGAACACTGTAAATAAAAGTTCATTTTGCTTTAACTTAAGTAATGTTAAAAAAGACTTTAAATCGAAAAGTTACGCAATTTAACTAATTAGCTCAAACGAAAATTTAGTTAAATCAATATCTGTATGAATATTTTCTAATTAATATATTAATTTCAATTCCGTCCTTTTGATTTCTTTCAGCGGTGTTACTTCATTTACCCCAAATTCGAAACTTTTGCGTAATTCAGAATAAAATTCGTTATTTAATGCATATTGCAGACCGTATCTCATCATTTTAATTGATATACGTTAATTAGATTTTTAAAATGAAGTTTCGATTTGCTTTAGAGTTTGTTTCCCTTCAATGCAATTTGTTTATACTCGAATATTTAGAATTTGAAAGAGGATTTTTAATAATATTGTTGCGAGCGTATGGTTTCGTAATAGATTGGAGGCAGACAGAATCGATAACTTAATAAAATTTATTTTCCCAAAAGAAACACTTCTCAGTTCTGGAAATTTCCTCAAAAATATTCGTAAACCTCTTCTGAGTATCACCAAGAACAGTAAGTAGTTACACTTCAAACTACTAAGAACGTTAAACACAGCGTAATGCAAAGGTCTTCTAAAAGACGAAACTCACATAGAGAACTCTTAGTACTCCAAACTCAACCTGAACTAAGCAACTGAAAAAATCTGATGCTCTCTCCGGTCACTCCCCCGACCTCCGAGAAATCTCTAGTACCTTCTACTTCTCGAAATTACTATAAGGCATATGAGAACAAGATACGGTTACAGTTACATATAGGGATCAATTACAGTTATTAAGGGGCTGGACCAAAATGTCACCTAATGAAACCAGAAGAGAAAAACATTAAGTGAAACATAAAATTAGCAACACACACACAAAAAAGGGGGCAAACAGCAGTTTTTTTAATGTTTTGTGTGTTACCTTTATTTATAAAATATCATGTTCTTTGCACTTAAACCATAAAATTGAATTCAACAGCAATATCGCAAGATAATATTAGAATGAGCATATCTTTAGAATTTTCGATACACAGTTCCGCGCACTGGAGATAAAAAGGTTTCTGCCCCACCCCCAGGTAGAGTGTTGTCATTGCTCGCTTTAAAATCGCTGAGTTTGTTAATCAAAAATTCGCGAAAGTGTTACAAAATATGAAATCGATCATAAAACAAATTCCAAATTAGGGCTTACAGATGCCCATTTTCGGTGGAGGATTACGTTATTCAAAATTCCATGGCTCTAGGTACCATTGTTTTACCTCAATGCGAGAAACATACATACATCTATGCAGCTTCTCCGTTATTTAATTTCTTTAAATATAACAGAGGGCGATAATATTTGGTGGCAAATATTTGAAAAGTGAAACGGACATTTAAACTTTCCAACGCAAAATGCCAAAATGAAATTAAAAGCTCTTCTGAGCTAACAACGTAGAGTTTGTCGTATCTTTATGTCAAAATCTTAATCTATCTTGAGGGCAAATAAGTACAGGTCCTTCTTCATCAGAAGCAAAGAAATCTGCAAGACTGTACCTGTCTGCCGTCGAAATCGATTGAGGTCTTGACTTAAATTTACGGTAAGCTCAAATTTGTTGTGCTGTTGATTTTATGTCACCTAATGGTCGCCAAGATCGGCGACTTTTGGCAAGTTATGGCCAAATTTGAATACAAAATTAGTCGCCAAAACCATCACCATCTTGGCGATACATCGGCAATCTAGCAAGATAGCCTTTTACTCAATGTTAAAGAGACTTGACCCTTTAATTTTATTTTTCCGGCAAAACTTCGTCTTTTCAAGTATTACATGTTAGATTAATCAAAAAATACTATAAATTCACAAATAATTTCACTAAAACTATTTACATACATGCACAATTAGTAACAACACATTTTCCAAATCTTCAAAAGAGTTTATAATGTATTGTAACTGCAAATAAGGGTCTGAAATTGATATTTTTAGATATTAATTTCAAATCTCTTTCTTGTGCAAAGAATGTTAAATTATCAACTCCGAAAATGTTAAAAATCACAGAGCTATGTCAAGCTACAATACTGAAACAAACTTGACCATTTAGCATGAGGCACTTCGATATCTACCAACAGAAAATTTAACTCACCCTCATATCAATATCTGTCATAATATAATCACCATATTGGTTTATCATGCAATCAGCTTTAGATTGAAAACGTTCCAGTGCTTCACTATTCCACCATTGTTTCAGGTTTCCAAAATGGTCAAACTGTCTACCTGTTTAGAAGAAAACCAGAAAAAGAACATGAAACGGCGAATTACGTTAAACTACATTTGCATATCTTATGATACGAGAAAAAATTTGAAGTAGAAGAAATCTGAAAGATTTTAGATTTTAACGGTCTAGTTTAAAAAAAAAATGTTTTCAGATTTCAACGGTCACCCAAAATACTAGTTTGTTAAGGTTTTTTTAACTCTCGCTGAGTTCGCAGTCTTCCAGTCTGCCGTTACAGTCACCCATTTTTTTTTTCCCTTTTTAGTTTATTATTAAGCATCATTTTCTTCCTACTTAAGAAATACATAATTCAACGACAAAATTACAAAACTTTTAAAAGCAGCATGGCAGTATATACGTTTAGAATTCCCGATGCAGCGTTAAATGTTGGGATATATATATATATATTCAGTCCTTTCTTAGTTCATGATATCAGTGTTTAATTTTCTTACTAAGATGGCTGTACAAAACTTTTTTGGTCTTTTTTTAATTACTATTCTGTGCGTTTACTTTATTTATTAAATATAACGTTCTTGGCGCTTACGCCACATAAAATTAAATTCAACAACAAAATCACAAATAATTTAAAAACATCATATCTTTAAAATTTCCAATAGACAGTCTCGCACGCTGGAGATAAAAATCCTTTTTTTCCTTACAGTGTCATCACTGCATTAAAATAGTTCAGTGTGTTAATGAGAAATTCATTGAATTTTGCAGAATATAAAGTAGATAATAAAACAATTTCGAAATTCAAAATTTAGGCTTCCAGGTTTTCAAGTTCGGGTGGAGGACTACGTTATTCAAAATTTGATGGCTGTATGTATCATTGTTTTCACAATGCGAGAAACATACATACACGCTTGCAGATTCTTTATTACTTAATTTCTTTAAATATACAGGACTATAATATTTGATGGCAATAATTTGAAAAGCGACACAGCGCATTCAATTACATGACATGAAATGCCGTTTGGAAACTAATATTCCATTTGGAAGTAACGTCTCTTTTGGCTAAAAATACAATCAAGCCGGCTGTAACGAACCTGACTCATAACGATCCCCTGGATATAACGAACGAACCTTTTCGACCCATTCAATTTTCTATGCGCTTTATGCTAGTTTATACTGTTACAGCGAGTTTCCAAAGGTATGGATATTCGGTATAACTATACGGATGCCTTCGATTGAAGTTTTTTTTTTTTTTTTAAACTTTCCATATTTTTCTAAAACTTTTGTCTACTTTAACGGAAATATTACTATCCATAAAATTATCCACTTTTAAAATGTTAGGATCCACATTTTACATTCCATCTGTTAAAGGAAAACACCTTTACATTCAACCTCACTTTGATCTCTGTTCTAAACAAAGGTTATACAAAAAATTGTGTAACAAAAATGTGCAAAATGTCTAGGAGAATGTCTAAGTACAAAAAGTCTTGGAGTACACAATACGCATATGTTAGGACACCATATGGCTTCTTTCATATAATAAATGTGACCATTGAATCGACGAACGTAAATAGATTGTCTGAATCGGTTCAAATTCTTTGATTAAATTGGCAAACAACTTCCTTTCAAGGCTGAAACTATAATAGAAATTTTTGAAAATTTCGCTATTCCGAGCAAGAGGAAGTAGTGAATCTTAGATGTTTCAGAATGAAAAATCCTTTTAGAAAATGAAAATTTTTGTTGCTTTTTGGTTTGTTTGTAAGTTCAGTTTTCCGAATGAAGCTTTTGTACACTTTAAGTCTTTTGCAAGGAATAGAAAAAATTTTTTACGAAAGTTATCAAATCTTTACCTTCAACCATATATATCTTGAAGATAAATTTCTTCAATTTTTACTTCCTTGTGCGAAGTAAAGGAAGTACCGTTATCGTAAAAAAATTCGGATATCATATTTCAACGAAAATATCCATATTGATCGCTCTCAAATCCATTTGATTCTTTTTTTTTTCATGACATCAGTACATACGGACAGAATAAAGGACTTTTTTATCCAAAACGAATTGTAAAATGGATTCAGAGAAGTTTTTGGAACGTCTTTAGGCCCATATCACACAGCGTTTGTTTCACACGAAAATCTGTTTTGGACATTTTTCTGACTAGTTTACTATTGAAAGAAAGACGTGCGACTTTTCCCTTCCTTTCCAAAAAATTTGCAAGTTGTTCGTTTTCAACCAATCAGCTATCAACTTCGAATGTTATCAGCTTGTTTGTAATGGGGAACCAGTTTCCCCTGTGTTAATGGCAAAGTGATCTGTGGTGATTGGCTGTTGTGACAAAGCAGAAAAATTGTTCCAAACAGTTGTTCTTCCGAAACAAACCGACGTGTGATAGCAGCCTTATACGCATGTACAAAAGTCACAAAAAACTCACCTATGTATGTATCTCGAATGACTCATAACCTTGAAATTTTGCATATGTGACTTCTATAATTTTTAGTTTTGCACCACCTTCTTTTTCGTTAAAATCGGGCACACCAAACGTATAAAAATGTATATGTATTCCCACTCTGTTACCCGGTTTGGTGAGTTCAATATTTTTTATTTTAATATACTGGTAAATTGTGTATTTTTTGCTTTAAAAGTGATTGAATTATGTGGTCCTTATGTCCCGGTTAAGGTTTTTATGCCTTTAGTTAATCTGCATGCTATAGTTGTAGAATTATCAACAATTTAAAAGTTCAAGTTGCGCTAAGCCTAACGAGGGTGACATTTGTTTGCATATGCATCTCTTAGTAGCATAGGAAATTCAGTCGGTGCACCAACTTCAACGTCATTTTGCTCAGTGGGATTTAAAAGTTACTTTGGTGCACAGAAATTTTTTCTTCTTGAATGAATGACTTGTTTTTGTGTTCGGTCACTAATTTTAATTAAAAAAATTAATTGTTTTTAACTGGAAATGGATTTTAAGCTTTTGTGTATTTTACAGTTTTTTAAGGAAGGTGCTTTGAGTTTTTTATGCATATTTGCTTTGTCGCGAAGTGGGAATTGAATTGATTAAATGAGAAATACATTTCTAATGAAATTCGAGGAAATAAATTTAAATGAAGGATAACAAAATTGTATGTAATTTAATAGGTCGTACAAGGGAGTCATACGTGTCCACGTCAGGTATTTTTTTATTAATTTTCGTACAAATATAAAATCATTATTTCTATATTTTTCTGGCTAAATTACTCACTCATAGCTATAAATAAGTAATTATAGAAGTTATGATTGTTCGACTTTGAGGATTCCAGACTTAATTCGAAGTTTCATGATATTTATGCTACATATAATGTAGTTTACCATGATTTATTACATTTACATTTATTAACGTATAACGTATTGTTAAGGTAATAATTGTATTAATTAAAAATTTAATATGATATTTTAAAAAATAAAATTATCATTCTCTTGTTTTGGTAAAGGGGACAATGCTAACATTTTCTTTTCTTTTTTTTTTTTTTTTTTTAGATTTTTCATTTAATGACCAATCTTTCGGGCTTTTGAAATCCGTTATAACGGGGCTCGTTAATAATGTCAAAGTGCTTCATTTTATAATATTTTTCACTTTAAATAAAACAACGGTAATTGATACGTTTGCACAGATTGGTGATAGCTGCTATGCAGTAAATAAATCATTAAGAATATTATATTTTTCGAGATATTTTTGTTTCAAATAATTAAAATAATAGTACCCGTTCAAGGTTAACTTAAAAATAGGACAAAAATTAATTGTGCATAAATTTAAAAAAGTAATTTTAATATTACTTCACAATTTTACTTAATCATTTTAACGTTACTTGGCAACTTTACCTAATTATTTTAACATATTCTGGAAATTTTGCATTCATTTGTGATCATCGGATTCATACAGCAACAAGAACTTGAATTTTTCTAAATTCTATTAGCAGCTTTATGGATAAAAATATAAATAAATAAGTTTGCATATATTACTTAATGAAAAATCTTCGTTCAGTTTTTAAATCCGTTCTTGTTACTTAAAAAAAATCCACTCAGAAATAAACGGAAAGCAAATTTTAACTTGGATGAGTTAAAGCAATAATGACAGTAATAATAATAAAAAAATGTTTTGCTTCTGATTTCTAGTCCATATCTCGCAATGAAACGAAGAAAAAAATATTCACGTATTAGTAGGGCTCGGCCGGGATTTGAACCCGGGACCTCTCGCACCCTAAGCGAGAATCATACCCCTAGACCACCGAGCCACAATAGTGAAAGGTGATCTGTTAATTACTTTCGCAAAAAAAAGCGATTTGCACAAAACTTGTTTTATGGTTGTTTTTGAAAATATTAAAATTCAACCCGTTGAATAATTTGTTTCTGTTCTTATAACATTATCGTGATTCAAAGAAAGTACGGCAGAATGTCAAGATGCATTACTGCGTAGAAACCGGATATTCGAAAACCAGATATAGCTGCGTTTTCCTTTATACTCTATAGTCTAAATGAGTTTTACTCTATTGCCAATTAGGGAATGTTTCTTTCTCTTTTTCGTGTTTTATTTCAATAACAACCACACCCTTCGGTGGAGCAAGTTAGAAATAAATAAAAAAAATTTTAAAAAATATAGTTTAAAAATTTTATGTCACGCCCAAAGGGACTTTTTTTAAAGTTTTGTGTGTTGCCTTTATTTATTCAATATCATGCTCTTCACATTTAAACCACATAAAATTCAATCCAATAGCAATATCACAAAATATTTAAAAAGAGCATATCTGTAGAATTTTCGATAGACAGTATCGCACGCTGGATATAATAAGGTTTTTTTTTTCGTAGATATTGCTATTGCTTGCTTTGAAGTTTGTTAATAAAAAAATTCGTTAAAGTTCTACAAAATTTGAACTAGATAATAAAACGCATTCGAAATCCAAAATTCGGGCTTCCAAGTGATGTTCGATTGGAGGACTACGTTATTTAAAATTTGATGGCTCTAGATACCGTTGTTTTTTCAGAATGCGAGAAACATTCATGCAGATTCTTCATTATTTAG